TATATAATTTAACAGTGTTAACGGCTATCTTGATTTATATTATATGCAACTATTTGTTTCTAGCCGTACCTACAGTATTGTGTAATGAAGTGTATCTGGCACCTCCCTGATCATTTTTTTTGTTTTTGTTTTGTTTTGTTTTTTTTTGTTTTTTTCAAATTTTGTAAATTTTCTTTCCGCATTCAAATTGTATGTGACAAATGAATGAAATGCTTATATTTGGGCACATTTCACACAAATTTGTCACATGTTTGTGTTTTTCTCACAGGAACTAACCTACCAGGAGTTCTTCACGCAAGGTGACCTGGAGAAGGCGATTGGCATCCCTCCACTGGAGATGTACGACAAAGAGAAGGCATTTATTTCTGAATTGCAACTTAAATTTCTGGATCACATCGCAAGACCTGTATATCAGTAAGTTGATACTTTTTTATTTTTAGTATTTATTATATTTATTTAGTTAATATTTTCATATTTATTATAAGTATTTACTATTATAATTGTTTAGTATATGTTACTTTTTTTAAACAAAAACATTTTTTTTTAACTTTTTAATTGTTTATTTATTATTTTACTTTTTTTTTGCTTTTAATTTTTTTTTTCTGTTTTAATAGATAACCCCTCACAAACCACCCCTGCTCACATCTACCAGCTCAAGCGCCAGTTTATCTCCCTCCCCTCAGAAAATACATTATACAGCTGCCATATCCACTCCTATCTATTTAATGATAAGATGATAAGATTCATGGAAGAAACTGGTAGTTTAAAAGTTACCATAAAGATGGAGTGACAGTGTGCCATATTTGCAAAAGAAAGAAAAGGATGTTAAGAACTGCAAATTCTAGTGATCAATTCAGGCACAATAGACAGCCTTGTCATCTTTTACACTTTAAAATTTCCGTTGATTGTATAAGCACCTGACTTTATTATGCTCCAAATCATTTTTGTCGTAATAAAGTAGCAATAACGTGCTGGGAAAATAGTTTTATGAGTAAATTGATTATGTGCACTTTAGTAAGTAATAAAATTTAAAGGTGGCCCAGTGCTATAGCCCAGTCAGCTAAACTGGTGGTAGCCACTGTGTGTTAGCTGAACTGTGGAGATCTTGTCGATCGTTTTATACGCTTGAGGGATAGTGGGAGCCAACCACCTGATTCTTTTGGCAAAATCCATTAAAAGATACTATTACCCACAAAATCAATTTAAAACGCCCAAAAATGAAAATTTTACTTTTAACCAAAGAGAGGTTAAAACGCTGCTGCAACGTTATGGAATACTTTCCCAGAGAGCCTTGTGTTTGTCGCTCAAACCAATCCCAAAGTAAAAGACTATGCAAAACAGAGCTGCCAAAGTTATACGAAAAACAGAAGAGACCTTGCACAGTCTTTGCTATAGATAATCTTGATAAGCGTCTGTTTCAAAGTGAAGCCATCACTATGTTCAAAATTATCAATAATTTGGCACCAGCTTACCTATATTGTAGATTCAATATTTAAGAAAGTTCTTATAACACCCGATCTAAAAACCAACTAATACTTCCTAAACCTAGAACAGATTATAAAAAAAACGTTGTCTTTCCTACAGAGGTGCAAATTATGGAATGAACTAAGTGATGACCTCAAAACTTCAATTACTCTTTCTAACTTTAATGTAAATTAAAAGACGATTAAATAAGAAAATAATACTGAACCTGCAAAAATTTCGAGGGGGCATGCCCCGGACCCCCTACTACAGTGTTGTCTCAATCGGCCCAACTTTCGGCGCCCTCCCCCCCTCCCCTCTTTTGGACATTTCTGGATCCGCCCCTGCAAGTGTCAGAAAACAAGAGTTGACGTCTTTCGGGAAATGAAATATATATAAATATTTCTTCTTGAAATTTTTAATCGTTCCTGCCATCTTCTTTATTGTGATATCATGCATAGTTTGACATATTAATTAGCATAAACACTAAGGGCGTATCTTGATAAAGTAACAGTAATGGTTTTATGTAGTACAGGGCTGATATATGTACTGTATATGTCAATAAACTATAAATAGAGTACTATGCTGTTAGGCTACATGGTTCAGGAAGTAATCAACAACTTTACCTGCATACAATGACAATAAAATGAGCAGTCCCAAAGTGAGTAGATATTTGAAGAAATGTGTTATAAAAATGTATTATAAATAAATATATTTTTGAATTTTGAATCTGTTTATTTATATTTTACTTGAATCCTAATGGAATCTAATTCTTAACTTCTGATAAATTGGTCATCCTGAATCTATTTATTTATAATATATTTTACATTAATGCAATCTCCTTTACCCAATTGTTGTACACTTAAATATATTATTTAAAAAAAATAATAAACAACACAACTCATAACTCACAGAATGAAATCGGAACTGACAATTTTTCTCTTCCGTGGGAGTCACACCCACATTTATTTCAATCTTAGTTGAAAGAGCTGTATATTTTTTTGAATTTTTCATATTTTTAATATACATAATTTAAATAGATAAGACCTATTACATTACAATATAATAATAATTATGTGATAATGATAACAATAATAATTAGTACATTTTTTTATATTATTTATAACATAATAAAGTAGTAATTTGAACAACGAATACTATAAATTTTTCCTTTTTATTATTTACAATTTTTTTAAGTTCATTAGTCGTTATGTGGTGTGCCTTGAATATTTGAAAATAACAGTCTCTCGATAAAATATAACATGCGTAGTAAGTGTAGTAGGAACATTTAAAATGTCATGTTTCTGCAGACATCAATGCGTTACAGATACTCAATGTCAACGCATTACCTTCTGAAGCATAGCGGCAAAAAAACTGTTACAAAAAGTCAATTTTTACCATAATTTAAACAACTACCATTATAAGAACAACAGTTTAAAAACATACGCAAACGTGTGTTTGTAGAACAACACCTGTGTTTGTGTGGCACACATTTTCAAAACAAAATTCAGATTACACTAATCCGAAATTTCGAATTAGTAATCCGAAATTTCGAATTAGTAATCCGAGAAACGATCATACAGGGGAAAAATTCTGGGGGAAGATAGCCATAGGGACTTACAAATCTTGTGGTTTTTTTTTTATAGTAGTTGTTTAGCATTTTCTTTAGATCTCAGTTGCTTTCTCCCTTGATGACTAGGGCCTTCTTCTTGTGCCACACCGATTTTAAAACGTCTTCTGGTGTTTGAGCTTTGAGAAGTCATCGATAAGAAACACGGAATGTCAGCATTCCATTTTTAAATCATGTTAAAAACAATAGGTTCTGCACATGATTCGATACAAGTTTTCAAAATGTACTTTGCGATTTTAAAAATCAGGGCTTTTTTCACAAATATGAATGAAGACTTTATGCTATTATAATAAAAACAGGCTACTTTTCTACCAGCTTACTCCGATGCATACTGTTTTGTTAATGCATTTTAATTATTTTTTTTAAATTAAGTTTTATATTCTGGTTTTAAACATTGCATATATTATTTACTGTTTATTGTATTACATTTTTTTAATGTTTGCATGACAAACATTTGGTTATTGTTTATAGACTTAGTGAATCAATACAAGTTTGCACATTGGAATGCTTTGTGTTGGGTTTTGTAACTTTTGGATATTTGCAGACCCATTTAATTTACCTTGGCAAATCTATGTATTTTGTGTGTATGTATTGTATATAAATTGAGTGTAATAAATAATTTTATCTGTAAAATACATTTGTTTTGTATGCAGTAATGTGATGTTAAGTGCCTATAATAAATGCTACACGTAAGGACTGCTCATAAATAAGTATGTTCCTGCACCCACAGCCATGAAGACATCGAAAATGTGTATCAAATATGAAACGATTTGCATGTTTTTATTATGCCTGCCATCTCCATCCTATCTCAATAGAAAATCTTGATTTCTTTCTGATAAATGCTTATTGTTCATACCATCGTTATAATAAAAGGCGTCATAACACTCTTAGTGGATTTTATTATGAAAGTAGTTCTAGATTTTATTTTCTCAAGGTTTAACAAACATAGGCTGTATAGCTATAAAGGTGTAGTTGAATTCGAAGCCTATGTGCACTCCTATTATTTAAATAAATAACGGTTTTCTCTGATGATAACGTCTTGTGTTTCCATGGATGTAATCAGTCAAACCTGTCAATTTAAACAAATTTAATAATTTCCTCTTTAATATTTCATCAAAACTCTAACATGAATAGTTCAACCAATAAGAACATCATTGACCAATCAGAACCGTTAATACTACCATTTAATACATTGCTGTGTAAACCAGAATAAGTTGAGCAATCAGAACAGATAATTCTTTACTTAATACAATAATTGATCCGTAAACCAATCAGAACCGCTAATACTTTACTTCCTAATACATTGCTGTGTAAGCCAGAACAAGTTGACCAATCAGAGTCGTTAATACTTGACTTTTGTAATTATATTACTATGGAAGTCAGAGCAGACCTGACACTTATTATTCTGGAAGCATCAGTTACATATTAAAAATTATAATACATTAACCGCAACCTGAATAGAAGAAAATGGCGTCACCAGCATACACAGCGTAAGTGTTAACAGCTATATTGTTTCTTTTATTATTGTTATTAAGTGTGCTTGTATGCGCATACAGTACTGCTAGAAGTCTATTTTGATATTTTTAACAATAACAATAATAATAATTACCTTAAATATGAATTGCTTTGAAAAGGTGCGCTTTATAACCGAAATGAAAGGCGCAACATTAATGCATTTATATGCTTTACACCTGATGAGGGCCTATGACAGACCTTTGTGCCATCTTCCTTATTTAAGTTTTGCAGATTTTTTGTGGCATCTTCCTTATTAAAGTTTTGCAAATTTATAACTTGTTCCCGAGCTTTATTAATATATATATATATATTAATATATATATATATATATTAATATATTATATACATACATACATATCATACATATATATATATATATGTATATATATTATATACATACATACATATATATATATATATATATGTATATTATATTATATTTAATCAAAATGAATGACATAATCAACATTAAAGAAATGCATAGATATTTAATATGTACATACATTTCATCACTTCATTGATTTAAATTGATATATAGCCTTGTAAGAGCTTTAGGCAAGTTGTAACTCTGCTTCATTTAAATATTACAGTAAAGACCTACGCGACGCAGTGTGGGGTGAGCAATGGGAAGAAGTAAGACGCATTATTAGACGCCAACCTCTACTCGTAAATGAGGAATATGTAAGTTATGTATTCCAAATTATTCGTTGTTAGCTTTTGTTCTATGATGATCACAACAAGTAACAATCAACACAATTTTTGTCAAGTTCAGTGCCTGCCATGTCACAATTGAGTTAAACTAAAGGCATATAACAATTGGAAACTGAAATTGAACGTTATCGGGAAAAATTAAGAATAAAATACTGGAAGGAAACAAAAAAAAAAAAAAAGAAAGAAACAAAAATTATATTATACGTGAAAAAATATTATTATTATTATTATCATCATCATCATTTTATCATTATTATTATTATTATTAATAATAATAATAATAATTATTATTATTATTATTATATACACCACAGATTTCGCGGTTTGTATCTTGTCTTAGTAACTGGCAATTTTCTGCTACATTAAATCCATTTCTGAAACCATAAACAATTGTTTAATTGTAGCAATATTTAAGTGGCAATTCTTTAAAAAATACTGTATTAAATAATATAGTTCCAGGACCCTAACCACGTGTCGATTTTTTGTAAAATCACTTGCGCGGATCCGGATACGCACTTTTACTGCAAAATACACAATCTTTCGAAAAATTTTTCCTTAATTATTATATTTTAACGTACGGTATTACTTTACCATCCTAATTTTCTCGCCTCTTTTCTTTGAGGTGTAATTTTTTTGCTTACTCTACCTCTAAACGCTCTGATGTTGAACTTTCGCAAAGCCAATGCTCGTGTGATTTTGAGTCTCCTCCTCTATCAGGTCCAAAGTGGCCAAAAAGCAGTTAGGTCGACCTGCTTGTGACTGACGCTGCGCTGTGGTGGACCTTGCCTGTCATACGACACTACTTATACCCCTCCTGTTTTACTCCTACACTTTTGGAGTCCTTGGGAGTTCGGCTTTTCCCACCAGAATCAGAACCAGAACATCATTGATTATAGAAATATTTAAGAATGGTAACTAATGCTACTTGTTACATGTTACTCAGCAGTTTGACGTCCAGTTGCGCGGAGGCCCAGGGAAAAACATGTTGGTGCCCCTTGCATGTCAGTAAAGTATTTTCACTCACAAAGTGACCGGGGGTGGGTGGTGTCGTATAGAGATAATTTTTAAGATTGAAAAGACTAATTATTAGACAATGTCAAAACATATCGTGTGACTATTTAACAACGATCAACTAATATTTTGCACACATTTTTAATTTGAGTATTTGAGTAGACGTGCAGGTATTGTTCGGAACCATAGAAATACTTTTTTTTTTTTTTTAATGAAAACCTCAAAAAATGGTATGACCAAGACTCTAAAGCTCTTTATCTGTCGTCTCATCTGCAAGGAGACTTGGAATCTTCGTAAAATATATTTTAAATTATTTAATCACAAAAAAAATCATGCTTCCGTAAAACACTGATAAATTTGATAATTTGAAAGACAGAAACCCAAAGGCTTTTGGAATATCTACGATGAGTTGAGAACAAAGTGTAAAAAAACAAAATAAGCCAAAAAGTATGGCTAGCTCATTTTTCAAATTTAATGAATAAATTTAAAAAACATATCCACACTTTGAATCTATAATAAATTCCTTTAACTTCATTAAACTTAACAATAACTGTCCAGATTTAATTTTAGAATCCTCATTCACCATTGATGAAGTCATTATTGGCATATCTAGCCTTAAAAACGGCAAGTCGCTTGTGCTAGATGGAATCCGTAACGAGATGTTAAAAGCATGCACAGTTACGATTGCGCCATTCTCAGTACTTATATTTAATTTGATTCTTCATAGTGGGCCATTTCCGTATGAATGGCGCACTAGTACATTAACTACAATCCATAAAAAAAGGTGATAAGGAAATGCCTAACAATTACCGTGGTATCGCAATCAGTACTTGTTTAAGTAACCGTTTTTACCTTATTTTGTGTTTAACTTTTTTTCCAGATTCAAACAAGCCTCGCAATTCTAGTGATCATAATTATTTTAGTTCTCAAAAACTTTATTGACAAGTAGGTGCTGCAAATCATATCTTCTTGTTTGTTTTGTCGATCAGCAGCATTCGACACTATATATGGCGTAACGTATTGTTATATAAATTAAGTAAGCTTGGTGTCTCGGGTAGGTTGTTAGCACTACTTATTAATATCATCTGTTATGTTGTTTCCCGTTAAATGTAACAGTAAAACCACCGAATCGTTTGAGACAACGGTAGGCGTCAAACAAGGTTGCAACTTAAGCCCTTTGCTCAAAACATTCTTTATCCAGAATAGTCATAATCACGAAAAATGGACATGAAAAACCAGATCATATCCTAAAAACAAACAGCAGTCATTAAGACATACATCAGGAGCCGACTCGATGGAGTTTAATGTCATACCCAGGGAAGGGCACAGATCTGTTTTGAAAGGTGGAGGGGGAGGGCATTTTGTGAGTCGACACCCACCTCAACCCCACAGTGGTTGGAGCTGAGGTGAGAAAATAGTACCTCTAGATGGCCAGAAATGACACTTTTAGTAAAATTCATCATCATCACATCACCATTAGTCAAAATGAAGCGCCAGAAAAAAATTCTCATGATCTTTTATCAGGGATTTTTGATAACCATAGAGATCTTATTAATGTGTGTGTGATATACCATAGAAACAAACATAGATAAAAAAGCTTAAAAACATTGTCTTTGAGTATGTACTTTACATAGGGCTACTTCAAAAACGGGGCTGAGGTTAGAATATTTGAGAAAATAGTACCTTTTGAGATGGCCAGAAATGACACTTTTATATAGTAAAATTCATCATCATCACATTACCATTATAGTCAAAATGAAACGCCAACAAATTTCTCATGATCTTTTATCAGGGATCTACTTAATATCCAGGACAACTCAGGCCTAATTATAGCTTACTAAGCTTTAACTATATATATACTATATTACTAGAAATTGCAAATTGCAAGTGAAGTGCTGCGAAGTACAACTGCATAAAATGTTCTTCGAACAAAATTATTTATGCGAGTCAAGTGAAAATAATGAATAATAAAAATATAACAAATGATATGAGCACGACCCATTGTCTATATATTATTAGAACCGCGTTGGTACAATAGTGTTTTGCTGCAGTGACATCTCTCTGCTGGCGATGGCTCGCTGCTGCTGGCGATGACTCGCTGCTGGCGAATCGATCTGCGCATGTGTATAAAATGGTATTTATTTCTGCAAA